TTGCATGGATGAACCTTCGTTTATAGAATCAACATGTAATACATGCAACAGGAATGACTCAACATCTGTTCCAAATATATAGGAAATCTCACTACCCATATCACAAGGGGGCGAGAAAAATAAGGACTATATAAAGGATGTCTCAAAGTTGTTTGTTATCTTGACATGACTATGGACAATAAATCATTTCCTAAACGTAATCCAGCGAAGAGTACTGTCCCCTCATTGTGTGATAAATCTGATAAATCAGTAAAAACGAACATTCTTTGATTTCAAATGCATGTTATCAATTTGTATAGAGCTTTATGTCATTCTTGTGTTTATTGATAAATGATGAGTATGAATGTTGATAGGCATGGAAACAACGTCTAACCGCCTCTATATATCCAACATCGAATCCAGTACATTGGTATGCAATATGCCGTGACTTGTTAATTTTCCTAGTGAGTTCAGCCAGTAGATCTCCTTTAGTCGTAAAGATCTGTGTGATGATTGCATTGATCACTGGCTCTTTGAATGAGTACTTTCATTTCATTAGTGTCCACAAGGTTTGTAGCTCAAGACGAAGCTGATAATTTCTTTTTCAGACGTTTTCCAGCCCTAATAGTTGATTAAGAACACACTTCATCAGCGTACTACTTTACTAACGATTATACCAGCATTTTAGTCTTATATAAATCTTTCTTTGCCCTGTATATTTCACACACCAGACAGTTTGCTTCTCTTACTTATGAAAGTGTTAAAATGATCAATTTTATCCCAGTTAACAGACAAATTGTTAAGTTGCAACAACCTATACCTATATAAATGAAGATAAGCTTTCAATGTTACATCTGCTTATTTTCTTTTGTCTGTGATACATTGGAAGCTGGAATTCCCTGACGTAAGCAGATAACTTACCTGTCACTGTATTTGGGAATAAACTGTGTTTGTATGTATACGTATGTTCTACTAAACGGAAAAGTTGGATGTAAATCAACGAAACATATTTTCATGTTTTTCTACCATTG